CATGCTTGGTGTCATGAGCGGTAAGAACGAACTACTGGGCCGACATAGCTTATCAGAGTGTGACCGATGAGACGTAAAGCTCACTAACCGCACTTGTGGCAGGGAACGTGGTGCCTTCAGTTGATCTGCTACCGATCCTTTATAAACGGCTTCGGATTCAAGGTTCGACGCTTCGTTCTCGAAGCGTGGAGTACCAAGCCGAACTCATCGCAGTGTGTGTCGAAGTTTCCTTTGGATTGAGGGAGCACGAGCTGATATGATAGTGTTGGATTTGCTAAGGTTTAAACGCGATATAGTGGATAAGATCAGTGGTGCGGACGGTGTCGGACCGATACGGACATGGATACACAAAGTGAGCGTCTCCTCTCATTGTCTTGTCGTCTTCTAGACTTTCGGATGGCGTCGGAAAGGGAAGCTCATGGATGGAGGCAGGTTTATCCTTGGACAGACATTCAACAAGCACAGCGCGAGATGACGGCAAACAAGAATAGGTGAGCTATTGTATGCTCTGAGAGAATCTGGAATGGCTGATGGATGGCAAATAACTGATGAGTGGGAAAATAATAGGAGAGGTCGTCTGAGAAAGGGGAGGGTTATTTGTGGGTGGTATTGATAAATGTACGGTGTTCACATGTGGAAGAAGGAAATATGCAAGAGGTAGAGTCTAGTTGAATTGTTCATCAAGCAAATGTCAGAGATTCCAAGATTAGAGAGCACTGCGGACATGGCTGGTTCCTAACGGACACTGCCACAGAAAGAGGTATCTGAGATAACCGGTATGTCCGCTAGTGGGATATGGTGGGCATCTGGAGAAAGCAGATCGTCAAGGGGCTGGAATTACAGTATAGCAGTGACAGGAAGGAGGAAGATAGAAGGAGTGAGATTGCCTTCTGGGATAAGAGGTAGAGGATGTCGATGTGTTCCCATGGACGATGGTGTTGCGTAAGAGAGATTAAATCGGGGATTGCGCGCCTTGCTGGAGAGAAAGAGGCTGGAGATCAGGAGGAGATGGGATGAGTAACGGTATATGATGCCATTGAAAGCTGTGCGACAAGCAGTGTCAGAGGCGAGTAGATGGATGGCGTCCTCGGGTCCTCGGTGGAAGCACGTGACTGGAGAGGGAAACAAGCAAGATGGAAGAGAGACGGGAGAAGAGGAGGACCGACATGAGGATTACCAGAGATCGAGGAGGACAAGGGGCGGCTAGAGCCGGGTATTTCCACGCGCAGACAGCGGATCTGTACGATGGCTGGGCCTGGCGGCTATGTTTTCAATTCTCTCCAGTCTCTCCAGCCTCTTCCCCTTACTGGCGTCTCTCGTTGCTAAGCGTCCTCTTTTTCGTGGGACCCTCTTCTATATTGTCCGACTCGCTTCCGGTAAGGCCCAAGATCCAGAGATCCTGTTCATGAACCTCCAACCAGTCCTCCGCACGAGGCGATGAGCCCACACTATATAAGCCTGCCATCTCTCAACTCCTGTCAATCACTTCCAACTCACCCCATCCTCTGTCACAAATGAGCAACCAGTACATCAACAGCTCCATTTCCACCCAGTCTACCTTCTCTCCGTCCAAGTCCACTTCTTCCAACTCCTCCTCCACCCAGTCACCCCCGCCCTACACTGACCCGAGGGCACAATCCCAGTCCTCCTCCTCCTCTCGCACCACCATTCGCGCAGGAGCAAGCACCGTCGCCCCAGTCTTCTTCTAGACTCGATGGCTAACTGACTGGTCACGTGTCCACTCCTCATCATCCTGTCGTCGACCGTGACGCTCGCGCTCTTGAACTCACCGTGACCTCCACTCGTCACCACATCCTCTCATCATCACCATCCTCTCGTCACCACATCCTCTCATCATCACCATCCTCTCACCCATCACCTCACCCATCACCATCACCACCATCCCCTCCACACCCGCATCCTCTCTAGTCGATGCATAAATAATCACTACATAATCGCGCTCTTCTTCGCTGCACGAGGGAGGCAGTCTAATCTCCTTTACACCCTCTTCTAATCGAGGAACCCCATCTGATGCAACGTCGCTTCCAATCGGAGGATTCTCACTCGTCATTCAATCGTTCCATCCAGTCCAACAAAGGAACCAGAAGCAGTGGACTTTTTTTCTTTTTCTTTCTTCTTCTCTTTTTGCAATTTCATCTTCTTTACCATATCTATCATTCTATCATATTCTCTCTATATTCACTCATGGATCTTCTTGTATCGTCCTAGTCGGGCTCGATTGCTGTAGAGAGCTGTATTTGCTGGAGTATACTACTAGTCACATTAATGTAGATATCATTCGTCCTCTTGTCTGAATCTCAATTCTCATTCTCCTTTCGTTCGAATCACCCTATCGGGCATCTCTGAGTAACACTCAACGTTAGTCCCTCTGCCGAAACTTGATCACATCCAAAGCGCTGGGGGGGGAAAGCGTCAAAAGACTCCATCCCAAAGCGGCCTAAACTGCATCGCGATTTAGCTTTTTTTTTCTTGATTCCTGTGTAAAAACACAATGGAGGCAATAGAGCGCGGAGTACCAGTGCTTGAGAACTACTAAACATGAAACACAGATCAATTCCACAGATGCGCGATGTATAATCGATCAATGACGACGACCAAGTACACGTCCAGTGTTGGCGCTTCAGACGTTGATCGGCCAATTGCACAAACCCCATCCAAACCGAAACACTTTCAAAACCACACAGTGTGTGAGTGAGAAGAAGGCAAATAAATAAATACCGTACCGTACCTCGCACCTTCGTCGTGATGCGGATGGGGCAGCTTATCGTCGCTATCAGATCAACATCTTCAAACGCAAACGCAAACGCAAACACAGGCCCATCGAGGAGTCATCCCCACTCGGGCCCGTCGACTTCACCGCGTTTTTCAGCCGACCGAATGACACATACTCAACGCCCCCCTCGAATTCGAACACGCAGCCTCCATCGCCGGTGCTGCGGCATGCATACGTAGTAGTACAATATAGCCAGAATTCTCATTCGTCATCACATTCATTCTCCTTCCTGTCTTTTTTCGACATTCCGTCGGGAGGTGACAGAGTGTAACGTACTACTCACGGATTCGTGCACGTCAGTCCTCTACCCCCTTTGAGCGAAATTCTTATTCCAACACAAGCCGAGACCACGGCTCAATCAAAAAGAGAACTCGGATTTTACAGCAAGGAAGCACCGAAGGATCGGATAGGGGGATAGTCAAATGTATGCGTCGAAGCAGCATTGAGAGAGAGAGATATGATAAGCATAAGCGAAACGACCCGCGAGCCCTGAGCGTGGTGGAGGCAGCAGGGACTTTACGGCTGGAGGCTATCAGTGGAAATAGATAACGACGACTCGGACTGTTTTTTTTTTTTTTTTTTTTGGCTATTCGGGGCTGCCGCGTATTTTGCATGTATTGCCTTTTAGTTTCCCTTCCGTCCGTGTCCGAGAGTCCGTCAAGGCAGATTTGTAGATTGCCCCGAGAACGGGTGGTGTCCCTTCGGGTTCGAGCGCACATTTGCAAAAATGGGATATTGGCAAATAACGAAAACGCCCGGAAAGCCCAGGTTGCGTCGAGCACTGGACATAGACCGCTTTGATCTAACTTTTTTTTTTTTTTTTTTTTTTTGCATTGCATTGCGTTGCATGGATTGGAGTGAGAGATTAGGAGCCCTCCCCCCTCGTCGAGATCAATTGCGCAGTGACAGAGACGCCAAAACCTGCCCCCACACTGGCACACCGTCGACGAACGTTAGAACCCGGAAAGAGATCATCGAGTGTGAGCGCGCTGCGGGAGAGCGATGGCGATCATTGACATAAAGGCGATCGAGGAACCCACCCCTTCACGTAAGATCGTACTGCCAATACAAACCAGTTTCGTGACTGTGTTTTTTTCTTTCCTTTTTTCGTTTTCTGTGGCTACGGTGTTTTCCAGGTAGCGTCCAATTATGATTTGAGAAACCGGGGATTGGAGTGATATGATGCTGGTATTGATGCTGATGCGGCCGGGACACGAATTGAATTCAGTCCATGCAACACATCATTCGAGGTTCGCAGCCCAGTCATATCAACGAGAGCGAACGTGAGACGAGGGGTGCGTTCGAATCGGCACCAGACACTTTAATTAGAGTGCAGTCAAGGACACACGGTTGGACGTGAGGGAGAGGGCAATTAAGGTTGAGAGGGGAGATCCAAGGGTCGAGTCGAGTGAAAAAAGGATCAGACCGAGATGGCGATTGGGATGTGGCGCATAAGCGATGAGATTTCATTGACAGCCAATAAGTAGGCTATCATACTCGGCGTATGTCATGATCGAGTTATGGAGGCGTCGTCGTCGTCACGGCTCTTGTCGTCGGTCCGCTGCGGATTCGGCGCGGTCCTATTCGACCCCAGGCCTCAGGCGTTGAGCGGGGTTTTTGAGCAGACCGGGACGGTATAGCAATTGAAATGATTGATTCGGTGCGTTCGATGGCCCCGTCGGCTGTTGTCATCGATGCCACTGGCATTGTATTGCATTTTTCAAACCACGACGGCTCGGACATGGGGGTGGACCTCAGGCCGCGTCAGGTTCGAGGCTGACAGTCTCTGAGAGTGGGGATAAGGCAGAGACGCACTATTCAATCACTGAGTACCCCACTTCCCCGAGCACTCGACCTGAGCAATCCATACCAGGCGTCTTTCGATGAAGCAGGGTGACGGATCTTTGGGTAACTTTTTGGCGCGCGCAACGTGTGGGGCTAAGATGCTGACACTTGCGACGGACGCTCCGATCACGGTGATTCCACGCCAGGTTCCTTGGGAGCTTTTTTTGGATAGTATAGATAGATAGATAGATAGATAGATAATGAGATAAGTATGGAGTATGGCGTGACCTGTTCTGTGAGATCACAGCCTGCACAGCTGTGTTCAGATCCTCCTGTCATGTTACAAAGGACTGTCAGATACTGACAACTCCACTGATTTCTTTTCTTTTGTCGCTCTTTTCGGGTGGGTGGGACTGCTATCAGGACTGTGAACTCCGTAATGAATATGAAATTGTCTTTTTTACTGTAATGGGCTCTTTTGGTTTGGAAAAGCGTGGTATATGGTTTGAAAGAGGTTAAGATTTTACTCACCTGGGGCCCAGTATTCGGATTGGCCATGGCGTGTTTGGCGTTCTCATGAGGTCCTGTAGCATTTCACTCCAATAGCCACGAGTAACCAGCCGCACTGCTGCCACGACACCAGACTATTTTCCCGTCACAGCTGGGCGCCGAGAGACTAAGCTTTAGATGAATGAAATGAAAAAAAACCAGCTGAGAGAGTGGCATCTGAAGTGGACCCGAGGATGACATTTGAGTTCATGAGTGTGATACGGCCATGATCATGATTGACGCATTCCTCCACGCATGCAAAAGGGAGGTGGAGCTGCGGCACACCATGTACTGTGCACGATAAGGAAACAAAAACCCTGTTCTGGAAGTTGGAGTCGAAGACACATTCTCGACAAGTCACCGTCCGACGAAGCTCAGAGTTTGCTTAGCCGAGGGTCTCAGTATAAACAGGTACAAAACGCATGGCCACTGGGTTTGAAAAACACCAGTCGTGACTGGGTCGCAAAATGAAGAGAACATAGAACCGCAAAATAGAAAGATGAAAGGCCCATCTTTGACAGCAAACCTAAATAATAGCATGCCTGCGTTACCGTGGCGGATAAGCGTATTTCTCCAGCCAAGCTTTCTTATCACCGCCATACTGTCGGTGCGTGTGGTACGAGGAGGCTCATGGGATGGAGGCAGTCCATAATCCCAGATGTAGGGCCAGTCACACTCCCAGCGGCAGCGCAAACTTCAACTTGTTGGTGGGAGTGCATCGACCACCCATGAGCTGCACTTCCGGAAGATCCGCGTTCTCGGCGGCGGCGGACAATTACAGGTCATTGACAACTTGAAGAAGTAACAACTACCGCATGACAAAAGCGATACAACGCGATGCGATCGTCGAAGATTGTCAAAGCCAACAGCCAATAAACCAGCATACATAACACGACGTGGCCACGGGTGAGTAAGAGATGCGGGTAAACCACTTTCACAGTTTCCCTCTAATCCCAGTCATCCACACTCCTGTCTTTAGACCGTGTTTTCGGGTTTCCAGCCACTCCAGTATGCAGCTTGCGACCTCATCTTGGCACTAAATCAATCAATCAGTAATGCCGATCAATGATACGGGCAAACCCATCGTACGCCAGTAAAATTGTGATCAGCTTCCTCTATCAAATGGAGGTTATGGGTTCCTGGGTTCCGCTGCCCAAATGCGCGTGCATAAATTATCGCATCAAAACTGCAGCGGTCTATAATTAAATATGTGTAGTGTAAGAGATTCGAAGTACTCACGGTGGTACCGTCTTATCAGCGAGACCATGGATGGTCAAAACATCAATGGAGCTAGGAAACCAGTCCCATACTATTGATGAATCCCACCGAGAAAACTCCTCTAGATCTTCGGGATATATCCTCTGTATAACGGGCTTTCGTGCGACGGTCACTTTCCATTCATGGTATCCCTTGGAATCAAATTCATCCTTCCATTTCTCAGTACCATCTGAGAAACTCGACGGCGGTGCCTTAGGGTCGAACTTCTTTAGAAAAAGAAGGCCTTACCGTATATCCGCTGTGGAATGTCGCTTTAGTCACGGTTGCGAGGACGTGAACGAGAATATTCTTACATGCATTCTGTATCGCCCCGAAGCGTTGACAAAAGTGCTAACGCGCTTTCCTTCTTCAGAAGTACACAACCAATGCATACCAACGACAGAACCACGCGAGTGGCCTACAACCATGTCGACTTCATATCCATATTCATTGCGGAGGTAAGCGACGACGGCCACAAGGTCTTGAACATCTTCTGCAAAACCACCTTGTTTCCACTTCCCACCACTTTCGTGGTTCCCCCTAGGCACATGAAGGTTTGAATGAAGATATCTAGAAAGGAAGAACGAACCCACCGAAAATCAAATCTAAATGAATCTATTGGTAAACGAAGCGCGAGTCGCTTTTGAAAGAGGTAATCCTTGTGTCTGGACGAATATCAACTATCAGATCAGAAACATAAGGTAAAGGAAGTTGGTTACCCCATTGTTCCATGTAAGATCTAAAGAATTTGGAAGTTGAGAGAATCCATACTAGTATAGACCACCTCGAAGTAGTAAACAGACTCACAAGAGCAATCTTCCGGCCATGACTAGGTTGATCAGGTTCTACTTGTTCCAGGACTCCGACGATGGTGCAGTTGGCCTCGTCGGGATGCGATATATCGATTTTCGTAGATTTCTTGCTGGTCATGGTACAATAAAGAACCCCTACACCTGCCGCACCCAGTCCTTTCACGTTGAAGTTGACAGCAGGAGAGGCTTCGGGCTGCCGGCTATGTCCTTTCCGATTGGTTGATATAATCTAGTACTTATGGGTTTCTAAAAAAAGCAGGTAGTATTCACTGCTCTCATTTGTTCTAGTTACACATGTATCCGTGCAATAAGATCGTGCAGTCCAATCATACAAGAAACAAGATAACACAACTCCGATTGAATAAATTTTGTGAAGCAACAGTCTCATGCCCCGAATTCTTGGGAAGGAAGGAACCGGTAACCTTACTATTGAGTTTTTAAGTATAACTCAAAAAAAGCGGCAGCCGAAGGAGAAGTGATCGCAAGTGTAGAATGCATAAGCAAAGGCAAAGGCAACGACAAGTACCGAAGATGACTACAAATGTAGCATGAAAGCGAGGCTGAACTACCGTAAATTATGCGGCCGCCTTCTTATGCCTGACTTGATTTTTTCCCTAGGATCTTTTCTTTGGCGCTCTTGCTTCCTTTACCCTTCAATACTTTCGCCTTTTTCTTTTCGCCACTTTCCGAGCTCCGCTTTTGTTTCAGCTCTGCCTGACTAACAGACACAGCAACCGGCTCAGGTTTGGACTTTTTCGAAGGAGTCTTAGTAGCTTTTGGCGATGGAGAGGGGGCGGGCAGAGCAGGGGTGGTGGGTATGGGCTCCGCGGAGACGACGGCCTTCGCCTTTTTCTTTGGTTTCTCGGCTGCGTCATCCAAAGGCCGTTTGGTCCTTTTGGCTGGGGCAGCTTTTTCAGGCTCTTGGGATACCTGTTTCTCCTTGATGTCCGTTTTACCATTATTTTCTTCTTCTTCTTCAGACGAATCGGAATTCTCCTGATCACTCTGGGCTGTAAGACCATCCCAACGTCCTCCCTCGTCCTCGCCCAAGTCGCACGTCCAAATCGGTAAGCTGGCACTAAAATTGCTCTTTAATTGTAAGCTTTGAATATTTTCCCAGCCACCCTTAATGTATTTTGCGATAGTCGGCAGGGCCATTTTAAGGTTGGACAGAATTTGTGCAGGAGTATGGGATAATATACCGATTTTGACCGACCTTCGGTGCTAATTAGCACGCACGTTCAACAAGCTAAACGATATTTACGTACGTGCAAGTCCCCTGATTTTGGTGCATGTATGTAGACTCTATGGCACGTTCCAGCTCAGCCTTAAGGTCTTTTCGCGTCAGGCAGACAGGTATCGGTTGTCTATAGACGAGGCAGCATAAATATCTCGGTGATAAGAAGAGAAGAAAATGCTGGACAAACTTTTTAGCGTCAAACCACTTGCGACCCAACAAGCCTGGTAAAAGAGGAATGACCCGCTCGTCGGCCAAGAACAACCCATTCTCCTTGAGTAGCATCCGTCGTGCCTCAAATGGTTTGAATTTCCCCTTGAGTTTTGTAATACCAACGACTCTCGAGATAAACTTGATGCCATGAGCTTCCAGGAGGTCTTTGTATAGTCTTTGTGGGTCTTTTGTGATAAGACACACACCAGACGTGCGAGGATCAACCAGCGGGTGCTTGATTGGACTGAAGGAAAATCAAAACGACACCAAAATGAAATGAAAGGGAACACGCACACTCTTATTGGCTTGATCTTTTTCTCTGGATGCATTTTCTTGACTGCGACCTGAAGCCATATGTTTTGCTCTTTCCCGGTTAACAGCTCTGTTTCCTCCTTTTCCTTTTGCTTCTTCAATGCATGTGTATGGAGAGCATCTATTGCTAGTTTGCACTGTTTGACAGAGACATGAGAGTCGATGAGCTCTGATTTAGCCATTGTTAAGGATAGAACTCAGTTTTCTTCTGCTTGAGGCGCATACCAGAGAGCAAATCGGGCATTTGTTTTCGCATATTTGCTCACTTGTGCCAGCAGCGAGACAGACGTCCAAGGCTTGAACTGGAACCTTCCTGTAGTCCTACTACACCTAGTATATACTGACAGTTTGTGTGGGGATACATGCTCGGCATTTTCATCTATTTCGTGCCCTTTCTTTCAGTTCTCAAGCTCTGTATTGCGGCACAATGCTCTCAGCAAACTGCTCCCTATGAACTTCTTCTCTGGCGTGACAATCTCGAAGAAGGCCACTGTGCTTTTATGTCTCTGCAAAAGACACAGAAACACAAAGGCATCTCATGCAACGGCACTGGGTATATTCGCGAACTATCCTCGGTAGAGTCTGCCGGAGAATTAGGTGAAATATTGCGGTTAATTTCTATGGACGAGGGTATTCTGTTAGCACAGGTGCAGATAGAATGCTCTAATCATGCTTCTTTACACGGTGAAATAAGGACATCATCAGCTGGTATGTCTCACAACGGCGCTGGTGGCCCTTCCCAAGTGATTCTGGCACCTCAGCAGCATGAACAAGGTCTTCGTTCTGGGGTCGAACCTCCACCTCTCCAAGTGTCCAGCCTGATCACTTCTGGGCCCTCTAGCAATCGTGTAGATCTTGTTTTCTTCTCCGATGGGTGTACGTACCTTATCTATGTAGATTTCGTATTGAATTGGAACATGTTCAATGCAGACACTGAAGAGGAATATAATAAATTTATCGAAGACGCAACAAGACTGGCACAGGATGTCTCCGCAAACCAGACATTCTATACGGTCAAACCTCTTCTCAACTTCTGGGCTGCCTTCTCACCCAGCAAAGAGGTAGCAAGATTTTTTGTCGTATCAGTGTTCACAAGTTAATCGTATCATTGGTACAGAGCGGAGTGGGTGTAGGGGGTAAACCAAAGGAGTGAGTAAGATGCGTCAAGATAGACTGTGATTATTATTATTAACATGTCTCTCAGCACTCCTTTTGGTCTTTACCGCGATGGAACCGAATTGAGAGGCTTATACTCCAGCAAACCCGATACTGCTCTTGCTGCATGCGAGTCACTGCAAGACAAATGTGACTATGCCATCTTGTTAGGTGAAGATGCACTATGTAGTCAGCATCTATGCTTATATTGACATCAATTATGACATGGTGAGGAAACGACCCACTCTATGGAGGTGAGTGATCAAACTTTCTGATTCTTTCCGAGATGAAACGATATAAATTAGGACTGGGCGGTGAATTCACGTTAGTCTCGTGAATCTGCAGACGTCCCCAATCATATAACCTCTTTTTAGGACTATCACGTCATCTCTAGCCAACGGGGCTTTAGTCCTCAGACACGAACTCGGTCATTCTATTATTGACGTTGGAGAAGAGTATGATGGCGGATTTGCTTACTTTGGTGTTAACGCCGCAGACACTCTATCCTCGGTGACATGGTCGCACTGGCTGTCTGATCCTGACACTCCACCACGCGAAGAGCGCTCTGTCTCACCCTTACAAGCTTACCCTTGGACATTGCTAAACACCACCACCCCTTTTTCGACCAATTTCACTTCATCCGGCCAGTACAGCCAATATCTAGTGAAGTTCTCACTTTCTGGTGTGCCCGAAGAGAAAGACTTGGATGTCTTACTTGATGGGGCCAATCTCGGATGGACTCCTCCGAGGCAGGATATAGGTATCGACCGATGGCACTATAACTTAGCCGGGTATAGCGCTCTGAGCGAAGGCGATCATGAGCTACAGTTCATTTTGAAGAATGAAAACACTCAAGGGCAAGCTCAACTCTGCAGCGTGGAAATCTTGGAATTTGGTGATGACTCTGAGTAGGTCCATCTGTGATTCACGGCCTTCAATCACCTTATATCTTTTCGACAGATTCAATAGTGGTATCGGATATTATGGTGCTTTCCCGACGCAAGTATCCTCTAATATCTAAAAAAACCTCTACGGTGCTTATGAAACCATGTTCAGATTCGATCTCAACAACGAGACGACCTATCGGCCGACTTATGAAGGCTGTCTTATGCGTAGCGTTACATATCCCAACTTTTGCAAGGTCTGCTTGGAAGGCCTATGGCTCTCCCTGCTTAAGCGCGTGGATCTCATCGACAACGTCCGCGAAAGTTGCATAATGAAATCCGCATCAGAAGTCGACTCGAGCACAGATCAATTGTGGAAGAAGGTTCTCGAACTTGATCTTGTCCCATTGGCACAATTAAGGCACAATACAATCGGCTTCACAGAGAGTTATAAAATAACATGGTCGACAGGTGGGACTACCTTGGAACAATTCACTAACCAAACGAGAATAGAAGTGGATGATGATATGCTGTCATACGATATTGACATTGTGTTTTCAACGAACGAAGTCAGAAAGGATGATCAAGGTTGGCTGACGGCGAGTAGATCCGCTCATTGACAC